AGCTGCGTTTTTCTGCGTTTTCCATTTTTTAGTTTTTTTTTCTACTACCAAAAAAAATATTTTTTTTGGTCAAAAAAATTCCAAAATCGCCGGTTTGTGGCGTTTTATCACATTTTACCACGTTTTTTTTTTCCCCGCGTTAGAGCGTTTTTACAGCTAAAAAACTCCCCAAAAAAAAAAACACTTTTTTTCCCAGCCAAAAAACATTGATTACAGTTTGTGTGCGTGGACTGGGGGGGGGGGGGGGGGGGGTTTACTGGCTGTAGAAAAAAAAACATCAAAAGCCAAAAACAGCCGCTGTAAAAATATCCCGTGTGTATGAGGGCTAAATCAGGAGAGACAAAGAATGTCTTTTCTGTATTAAAATTCATGCCTGGTCGGCCATCTTTAATTCTGGCCTCAAGTTCCACTTTAATGTGTGTTGGTATTTACCTCCAAAAGCCCCGAGACTGCTGCTTTACTCAAAACTCAAGGGACACTTTTATAGCCTTCCCCTTCACTCCTCCCCTGGCAGCTGTAGAAAGGCTTATGTAGGGAGGGGCAGAGGTGCTGGGCCAGCACAGACAGCAGTCAGACACTCCTGAAGGAGCAGAGAGCAGTCATGTACAGGGAGGAAGCAATGCTGTGGAATTGACTTTTTGAAGTCAGGCTAACAAAACCAAATTTTAGAAAAAAAAAAATAGTAAGCATTTAAAATACTAGATTTTTGTGTGCTTTTCCTCGCCTTGTTTGAGATTGGTGGCAGAGTCTGTTTGTTATGTATTTGGTTGCAGAGCACAGATACAAGAAGGCACCTCTTGAGGGACCTTGATGGGTCAGTAAACCAGAGCAGTTCATAACAATTACTGAAGATATTAGAGATCAAAGTGCTTCCTTTGAGGGAGAGATTCCCCCATCTAGCTAAGGCCTATAAATCCATCGAAAGACGACGAGGACAGCTTCTGGTGAGACTCTTTTAGCCGAAAATGCTTCTGATTATAGAACTTTCTTTTCTCATCATCATAGATCTATAAATATAGCAAGGTTTATATGTGAATATATGAGAAGCTGATGTGTATATGAATTATTGGTCATTTTAGAAGCAGAACTCCAGGCGGACAACTGAAAGGCTATGCAGACTTCAGCTTCTATAAGCAGTGTGAACAGCAAACCTTTACAAAGCATCTGCAGAGTTTTCAGCAAGCTTTTTTTTTTTAAGCTTTTAAAGTCCAGTTCAGCTTTACTTTGTAAATGTCCAACACAAATCTTAAACGGAGCGCTGATTGTCACATTGAGCAAGCTGCTAGCAGGCTTCAGCACACATTGAAGCTTGTTGAAAGTTTGCTAGCAGTTTGTTAAAAGTGACAATCAGCACTCTCATTAAACTCCTTAAGAGCTTTCAGATGCCGGGAGGAGGGCATTCGAATCATATGACTGCTGTGATTGGCTGTCAGAGCGAGGGAAACTGTCACCAGCACACCGAGGATCACCAATATGGGTCCAAAAGTTTTAATGAACGATCAAATAGTTATAGCAAGGCAATGTTTCAGAGTCTCGCAGGCATCAGGCATGTGGCTGTCAGAGCTTTCACATGATCAGAAAGCTCCCAATCACAAGTATGCATCCAGAGCTTACCGATCCCCGCTGGCTACCGTGTTCTCAACACGGTAAGCTCTTTATACGGGGCCGCGTATATGTGACTGCTCGGCATTAAGGCCCACCCACCAAGAGGCCACATATATGGTACGGAAGAGGTTGATATCTCTGTATAACATTTCCAAACAGAGCTGAAGGGTGCTTTAAAAGCTTAGAAAAAGCTGCTCCAGCTTGTCCAATGTGCGGAAAACCCTCTTTTTGGAGGATTTTAAAGGCACAGACAAAATTGTATAAATTTTTATTTCAGGTACTTATATAGTGCCATCAATTTACGCCACACTTTACATATATATTGTACATTCACTTCGGTCCCTAACCCTCAAGGGGTGTACAATTTAAGGTCCCTAACCCTCAAGGGGTGTACAATCTAAGATCCCTAACCCTCAAGGGGCGTACAATCTAAGATCCCTAACCCTCAAGGGGTGTACAATCTAAGGTCCCTAACTCTCAAGGGGCGTACAATCTAAGGTCCCTAACCCTCAAGGGCGTACAATCTAAGGTCCCTAACCCTCAAGGGGCGTACAATCTAAGGTCCCTAACTCTCAAGGGGCGTACAATCTAAGGTCCCTAACCCTCAAGGGGCATACAATCTAAGGTCCCTAACCCTCAAGGGGTGTACAATCTAAGGTCCCTAACCCTCAAGGGGCGTACAATCTAAGGTCCCTAACCCTCAAGGGGTGTACAATCTAAGGTCCCTAACTCTCAAGGGGCGTACAATCTAAGATCCCTAACTCTCAAGGACTGGAGCGATGTCACTTCCTGCTCCGGCCATTTTTTTTTTTTGACGCTGGGCATAGAGAAGAGTGAAAGAAAGTTGGCCGCCACTCATCTCTATGCCCTTGGAGGACCAGAGCGATGTCACTTTCTGTTCCAGACATTTTTTCTTGGCACTGGGCATAGAGATGAGTGAAAGAAAGTTGGCCACCACTCATCTCTATGCCCTTGGAGGACCAGAGCGATGTCACTTCCTGTTCTAGCCATTTTTTTTATTTAAAGCACTAGATCAATGCTTTTTTTTTTATCCAATTCTTTACATTGCATTGATAAAGAGGACCTGTCACTAAATATTTCAATCGCAAGGGATGCATGCATTCCTTGTGATAAGAATAAAAGTGATTAAAATTTTTTAAAGGGACAGTGCAAAAAAAAAAATTAAAAAAAAAGTTTAAAGTGCCCCCGTCACCCCGTGCTTGCATGTAGTGGTGAACGCATACATAGGCCATGCCCACATATGTAAACAGTTTTCAAACCACACGTGAGGTATCGCCAGGAACATCAGAGCAAGAGAAATTATTCTCGCACTAGACCTCCTCTGTAACGTCACACTGCTAACCTGTAGAAATGTGAAATGTTTAAAGCATCACCCATGGAGATTTTTAAGTACCACAGTTTGTGACATGTTGGGTATCTATTTACTCGTCGTAACATCCTCTTTCATATTTTACAAACAAATTGGGGTAAATATTGTTTTTTTTTTTTTTCTATAATCAGTGTATTTTTTTCCAAAAAATCTATATTAATTTTAAAAACTGTGCGTTTTGGTTTTCGGCCAAGTGCATTTTGAATTTTTGTTTTCGGCACCAGAATTTTCATTTCGGTGCACCACTAGTGGAAACCCATGCTGACACCATGCAGATCCTGTATAACACAAGATCCCAGTGCTGTAAAGCCTCCATGGGAAGTACTAAGTTACCATTTTGCGAAATCATGACAATGGGAGGAGTAAGACTCTATGGTAGGGAGAAAACACAGAACTCCATGAGCTTTAGTAGGAACATTTAGGGGTTTTACCTAAGTTGCCCGTTTGTCTCCGTCGGTTTTTGACATCCCACAAAAGTACCAGTTCTGACGGACCAATCCCTTTAAGACCTAAATTCAGTTTAATTTGCAGTTAATACAGTGCTGTCGCTGAATCTTCCTAAATTCAGTTTAATTTGCAGTTAATACAGCGCTGTCGCTGAATCTTCCTAAATTCAGTTTTAATTTGCAGTTAATACAGCGCTGTCGCTGAATCTTCCTAAAGTTTAATTTGCAGTTTAATTTTTAATTTGCAGTTAATACAGCGCTTTCCCTGAATCTTCCTAAATTCAGTTTAATTCGCAGTTAATACAGCGCTGTCGCTGAATCTGTCAACACTATCATTTGTTTCCTCTTCTAATGCCAAGCCTATGAGCAGCCATTCACTGTCCTCCACCCGCCAGGAGACGATGTTGCGAATGTCAGCGTCCGGGCATCTGTGTGTGTGTGTGTCTAGTTACCCAGGGGTGGGTTTGAGAAGGGCCGGGGTGACGTTCAAGGTCCCTCTGACCATTTGCAGAGGAGAAAATTAAAAAAAAAAAAAAAACATTTAAAAAAAAAAAAAAATTTTGTTTTTGTTTGTAGCATGTCATTATGTATGTTTGAATATTGCCTAACGTGAAACAAAGCAAAAGAAGGATGCTAAATTATCGGAACCACTTCTGTAAAATAAATGTTTCAGTGCAGGAACCTCTCTGGGCTGTGTTTTGTCTTCTTTTTTTTGTAACTTGACGCAATCTTTTGTTCCACAGCCAATCACAGACTGATTCTTCTGAAGACACGTGGGATAGGTCCAATGTGCGGAGAATGATGCAGTCCTTGAATCCAAATGGCTAGGAGGTCGTAACTTACCCACGTGTGTGCACGTTCGCATGCAAGTTTGGGGCGATCCTCTTGATTCAATCGATTTGCTCATTTCTGTTTCTGATGCTTGACACAGACATGTTCTATCACTCGGGCCCTCTGTCTGTTCAGCAGCCGATGGTGGGAGTTTGGCACAGAAAATGGGAATATTTAACAAACGTTCTACAACAGATGATCCGAGTAAAAAACATAACAATCTCAGTGAGAGAGCGATTTCTTTGCTACAAATGATGGTACAGTCTATCTTTATTCATTTTAACCCCCCTGCCCTCCTGAGGATTTACCCCCCCCCCCCCTTCCTGACCAAGCCATTTTTTGTGATACGGCGCTGCGTTACTTTGACAATTGCGCGGTCATGCAACGCTGCATCCAAATTAAATTTACATCCTTTTTTTCCCACAAATAGTTTTCTTTCGGTGGTATTTGATCGCCTTTCCTTTTTTAATTTTTTGCACTATGAAAAAGAAAAAAGCACCAATTTTGAGAAAAAAAAAATATATTTTTTGACTTTTTTATATAAAATCAGGTAAAAAAAATCTAATTTTGTCATAAATTTAGGTCAAAATGTATTCTGTTACATGTCTTCGTTAAAAAAAAAATCCAAATACGTGTAAATTAATTGGTTTACGTGAACGTTATAGTGTTTACGAATGGCGGTATATATACTGGAATTTTGTTTTCCCCTATACTAGTATAGGCAGCGTTCAGCGACTTATAGCGGGACTGGGGCGGACATTCTTGACACTGGGGGGGGAACTGACTAACTGCCACTGACAATCCCCAGTGACACCAATACAGTGATCAGTGCTAATAAAAAGCACTGACACTGCTGGCACTAATGGCACTGGGCAGGAAGGGGTTAACATCTGGAGCGATCAAAGGGTTAAATGTGTGCTGTGTGTTTTTTTCACTGTAATCACACTGATATGCAGAGCCATACAAATCAGTGTGCAGGAGCTGACAAGGGAGAGAACTGTATTGTTTACAGACAGGTTCTCCTCCGTCGGTGATACACTGCGATCGCCAGGTGCCGGAAGGGAATCACCAGCCGGGATGCATGATCGACAGGTGAGGCCGCCAATGGTGGCGCAGGCAGGGCTCACAGGCGCCCCCTACCCGGGAATACAAAATGACACATATATGTGATTTTGCACACCTCTGCTGCCCTGTAGCAGTATTTCTGCTATAGGGCAGCGGGAAAGCAGTTAAAACCACAATTTATCTAATAAAAAGAATAAACTGATCACAGTATAGAGTCTGACATCCCCAGTGACACCAATACAGTGATCAGTGCTAATAAAAAGCACTGACGCTGTACTAATGGCACTGGGCAGGAAGGGGTTAACATGAGGGGCGATCAAAGGCTGTTTTACTAGGTGTGCTGTGTCTGTGCTTTCCACTGTAAGCACACTGCTTTCTATGGCTGCTGTGCAGAGCCATACAAAGCAGTGTGCTGGAGCTGATGAGGGAGAGATCTGTATTGCTTACATACAGTTCTCTCCCCCCATCGGTAGTACTCGGACAATCACCAGGCGGGACCCGGTGATTGACAGTTGAGGCCAGCGAACAGCGGTGCAGGTAGGATGCACTGCGCGCCCCCTACCCAGAAATGCCCAAATCACACATATATATACATATACATACGTGATTTTGCTTACCCCTGCCGCCCTGTAAGCAGTATTTCTGCGGCGGTAAAGTGGGTAAAGAAGTAAAAAAAAAAAAAAACGGTTAAAAAAAACAAACCTGGCCCCCTTCACAGCCGTGATCGAGCAAGTTGGCAAATCTAAGCTTTCCCCCTTTCTCAGGCTGTACTTTGAGATCTGCGCTGGATCACCAAGCATCCCGCCACTATATATATTTCCTAATATACAGGTACTGGACTGTCTACATGGGACATTTTCTAATAGAGGACAACCCTCAGGGTCCTTATAGGTGTGGATGCCCCCTAGGCTCGCTCACAATGGCCTCCAGGGGGGCGTTAGCACCTAATGGAGCACTGTGGATGGCTTCTTCCATACCCTGCCACATCTGTGTCTTTTAGGACGTTTCACACAGAAGGCATGTGCTGTATCCTACATCTGATTTTAGGGCTTACAGAAGCCTGCCAATGACCAGCAACATAGCGCTTGTATTCTCTTGATTTCACAAGGCTGTGCTTATTTGATTTTTATTGCCAGCTACGTTCTGTAGAATCAGTCTGTAGATGCAGTAAATAGCATGCTTGTTGTACTCACTGTGGAACCTAAAGGGTTAATCCTCCGCATTGTGTAAAAAAATAATTTTTGATCCTGACTTCTCTGATCCTCCCCTTCTTCCAGTGTCTACTAAATATTTCCTGATAGATCAGAGGCTCTGGGGGCAAGCTGCACATGCTCAGTTTGCTGTGTATTGCTAGAGAGTTTTTTTTTTACTTGGGAGAGTGCATGTGATCAGCACAGGACCAATCAGCACTGTCCAGACAGAGGTTGGGTTCTGCATCTTCCTAGAGCAGAATGAAAATTCCTCCTACAAGCTTTAACCAGTGTTCTGCTGGACACTGACAGTCACAAGACTGGTATATATATTGCTGATGAGAAAAGGTAGTTAGCAGTTTATATTTACTATAATTATTCTGTGTACTGTGGGAGACCAGATATAGTGAGTGCAGGTCCGGGGAGAGCGGATATAGTGAATGCGGGGTCCGGGGAGACTCAGATATAGTGAATGCGGGGTCCGGGGAGAGCTGATATAGTGAATGCAGGGTCCGGGGAGTCAGGATATATAGTGAATGCAGGGACCAGGGAGACCAGATATAGTGAATGCGGGGTCCGGGAGACCAGATATAGTGAATGCGGGGTCCGGGGAGAGCTGATATAGTGAATGCAGGGTCTGGGGAGAGCGGATATAGTGAATGCAGGGTCCCGGGGGAGTCCAGGTATAGTGAATGCAGGCTCCGGGGAGAGAATGATATAGGGAATGCAGGGTCCTGGAGAGTGGATATAGTGAATGCAGGGTCCAGGAGAGAGCGGTTATATAGTGAATGCAGGGTTCCGGGGAGAGCGGATATAGTGAATGCAGGGTCCGGGGAGACCGGATATAGTGAATGCAGGGTCCAGGGAGACCAGATGTATCTGTATGCAAGGTCCTGGAGAGCGGATATAGTGAATGCAGGGTCCGGGGAGAGCGGATATAGTGAACGCAGGGTTCGACAGGGTCCGGGGGAGAGCGGATAATAGTGAACGCGGGGTCCGGGGAGAGCGGATATAGTGAACGCGGGGTCCGGGGGAGAGCGGATATAGTGAACGCGGGTCCGGGGGAGCGGATATAGTGAACGCGGGGTCCGGGGAGAGCGGATATAGTGAATGCGGGTCCGGGGAGACCGGATATAGTGAATGCGGGGTCCGGGGAGACCGGATATAGTGAATGCGGGGTCCGGGGAGAGCGGATATAGTGAATGCAGGGTCCTGGAGAGCGGATATAATGAATGCAGAGTCCGGGGAGACCGGATGTAGTGAATGCAGGGTCCAGGGAGACCGGATATAGTGAATGCAGGGTCCAGGGAGACCAGATGTAGTGTATGCAAGGTCCTGGAGAGCGGATATAGTGAATGCAGGGTCCGGGGAGAGCGATATAGTGAACGCAGGGTCCGGGGAGAGCGGATATAGTGAACGCAGGGTCCGGGGAGAGCGGATATAGTGAACGCGGGGTCCGGGGAGAGCGGATATAGTGAACGCGGGGTCCGGGGAGAGCGGATATAGTGAACGCGGGGTCCGGGGAGAGCGGATATAGTGGAACGCGGGGTCCGGGGAGAGCGGATATAGTGAATGCGGGGTCCGGGGAGGACCGGATATAGTGAATGCGGGGTCCGGGGAGACCGGATATAGTGAATGCGGGGTCCGGGGAGAGCGGATATAGTGAATGCAGGGTCCTGGAGAGCGGATATAATGAATGCAGAGTCGGGGAGATACCGGATGTAGTGAATGCAGGGTCCAGGGAGACCGGATGTAGTGTATGCAAGGTCCCTGGAGAGCGGATATAGTGAATGCGGGGTCCGGGGAGAGCGGATATAGTGAATGCGGGGTCTGGGGACATCGGATATAGTGAATGCGGGGTCCCGGGGGGAGCGGATATAGTTAATGCGGGGTCCGGGGAGAGCGGATATAGTGAATGCAGGGTCCGGGGAGAGAGCGGATATAGTGAATGCGGGGTTCGGTGGAGAGCAGATATAGTGAATGCGGGGTCCAGGGAGACCCAGATATAGTGAAATGCAGGGTCCGGGGAGAGCGGATATAGTGAATGCAGGGTCCGGGGAGTTCAGGTATAGTGAATGCAGGGTCCGGGGAGTGCGGATATAGTGAATGCGGGGTCGGGGAGAGCGGATATAGTGAATGCAGGCTCCGGGGAGACCGGATATAGTGAATGCAGGGTCCAGGGAGACCGGATATAGTGAATGCAGGGTCCGGGGAGAGCGGATATATAGTGAATGCGGGGTCCAGGGAGACCAGATATAGTGAATGCTGGGTCCGGGAGACCGGGATATAGTGAATGCAGGGGTCCGGGGAGACCGGATATAGTGAATGCAGGGCGGGGAGAGCGGATATAGTGAATGCAGGGTCCAGGGAGAGCGGATATAGTGAATGCAGGGTCTGGGGAGAGCGGATATAGTGAATGCGAGGTCCGGGGAGTTCAGGTATAGTGAATGCAGGGTCTGGGGGAGTTCAGATATAGTGAATGCAGGGTCTGGGGAGTTCAGGTATAGTGAATGCAGGGTCCGGGGTTTAGTAACACTTTAATTCCTTCTGATGATAAGAAATAAGAACATCATTTTCATCTGCATGGAGTTTGTTTACTATGAGGTTGAGTTCTGAAGACTATAGGAAAGTCTCATTTCTGTTCTATGCAGCCAGTTAAAATTCAGATATTGTTTTTCCTAAACAGACCTTCACCCTACATGTCACCTTGCACCGCCCTGCCTCGCTCTCCTTCTCTCTTACGAACGGACATTTTGTTTTTCTTTGCAAATCAGCGCTTCTGCAGTTCTCACTTAGGCAAGTAGTTCTCCCCCCACCCCCTGGGCATGTGCAGAAGTGCCGCAGGACTTGGGTCCCAAGAGAGCCCTACAGCACATCTACACATGTTCTGGGTTCCTTGGCCATTTGCACACACCGTGGATTCCCATGCACGTGCAAAGCCTGCTAAAGTTTCCCTGTCTTTGCGCATGTGGAACATCCCTGTGTGTGCGCAGATGCCCCAACGGGCTTTGCAAGGACCCATAGACCAGGCAGATCCCATGGGCAGAGCCTGTACACAGCAAAACTGAAGCTCTGCTTTACCGCAGTTGTGAACATACAATGGTATGGACCAGGGGCGGACTGACAACTCATGGGGCCCCCGGGCAATAGGGGATCATGGGCCCCTGTGTCCTTGCCCAAACTCAAAAAAAGCCTATGAAAAAGATACCAGGGGCATCTCATGGGGCCCCCTACTGACCCCGGGCCCTCGGGCAGTGCCCGAGTTTCCAAATGGTCAGTCCGCCCCTGGTATGGACTCTTTGTAATGCACTTATAGCTGTGCAGGCACCACAACTTCTATAGGAAGATTGAAGAAATGATATTTCTTACCTTTTTAAAAGGTTAAAAAGTTCTGTCATGTGACCCTGCGTCTCTTTTTACCGCTAGTGTGGGGGCAGGGTTACAGGACACTGTGCTGACACACAGCATGCCTGTTTTCCATAGTCAGTTTAGCTCAGCCTGTGGGAGTCATGCTTGTAGCTGTCAGTCCTGCAATGATTCAGATATATTCATGGGACTTGTAGTTTGGCAACAGCTGGAGAGCTGCCAGTTTGACACCCGTGATTTAGGGCAACTGCCATTCTGCTGACAATTAAGGGCAGACTCATTGGACAGGGAAATGGCAGTAGGAGGAGCTCAGCTGGGAAAGTCAGGTGCCATTTACAAAGGGATATCAGTTGAGGAAAGGCACTCGGGGGAAGGTTTCCTGGCGAACTTCCTGCCATACTTGTCTATTTCTTAGATTTTAAAATTGCAGCCACATGGCTGAATATAAAAGCTGGGGGGCGTGTTCAAGAGGCAGAATGTGATTGGTTGGGGGGGGCATGGTAGCTGAACAACCCACCCGATACAGGCGTGCTTTGTGTCTGCACAGTGGTCCTGTACCTCTGAATGTCCACCCAAAGAATAAAAACTGACAACGGAAGGCACAGATCAGCTTCATTGCTTTGTGTGGTCAGTTAAGAAGAAAGGTGATTGTCAGGATCAACCAGGTACTTCAGGCGAAAGAAGTACATGAAAATGATAAGATACTATGATTTTTTAAAAAAAATACATGTGAACACACAAAAAATTCAAAGACTTACACGCCGGTCACAGCAAACCCGATTTACAGTGAAGTCACGCGATTTCAAAGTCAGATGACATGCTGATTTCAGGTGCGATTTGTAAGACGTCTGACACAGATGTGTATGCAATTCGCACCAAAAGTAGCACATGTACTACTTTAGAAATCGGTGCGGCTCCGACCAAGCCGGGACCGCACCGATACGACCG